CGTGCTGTCAAACCTACACTAGCAAGGAGATCGGGCTGAAACTATAGCTACAAGCTATCCAAGGATGGTACTATAGAATGTCACCTCAAGGTAGGCCTAGTGGCGTCATTTCTTGGTCAGGCCGGAAACTTATCAATCCACCCTCGTATATGGATCATAAAAGAAAAATAACAAAATGAACTCTAAATAAGAATTGATATCTTTTCTTATTGCACAGATTAATCTTAAGAAAATCTTTGGTAACAATTTATCACAATTTTTCTCTTTTATTTGTAACTGCCAGACATACTTTATCTTGGAACTTAAAATACTTCAAAATTCTTGTTGTTCAGAGTTGCTATAATCGTTTTATTTAAATATACAAACTTCGTTGCCAAAAAAGTTCGTGAAGGATTTTATCTCTGATATTATCGAATTCGGGTAATCCATCGAACTCGAAAAAGTATGTAAATCAGCACGTTAGCATAACATACTTTTTCCTTTTGACATTAAAAATCTATCGTAGGATAAACAGGACTTGTTTAGTTTCCGAGTAAGCACTGAATACAAATTGTACTTTTTAAAAGTTATACTGTATATATACCGTAAAATCAATTTGGGACAATTAATCCCGACAGCTTTTCATTAAGTAAGCAATAAGCTATAAGCAAAGAAAATCATAGAATTCGACACGGTTATTAAGAACGAATGCCGCAGGTAACAATCGATAGCGGCGGCACTTCTGTGCAAAAACCAAGCATCGCACCGCAAAAGACGAAAAGAACTACCGAGAAGTTCCCGGAAATATTTAGGAACGTTCCATGACAATATATAAACAAATGGCCATATTCTGACGGAACATACTAGTCAATAAAAAGTTGTTGACGTCTAATGTGTAATGGGGCACTCAGGCACCAGAAAAAAATTGGAGTTTTACTACCTGGCAGAGCTGAGCAGAGCTTAAGTGCTTAAAAATGTCCTTTCAGGATTTAGAAGCATTGTTATTCAAGCATTTTGCTAATTCATAAAGCTTTAAGCTCTTTTAATGTCATTGAAGCACCTTCAAATTGCTTTTGAGGTAATTGGTAATTTGAATTCGTTCAATTTTTAAAATGTAATTGGAGCTTCAAAGTCTAAAGCACTTTAAGCAAGGGTTTTGACATTGACGTTTTGAGCACTTTTGGTGCTTTGATTGGCTCTGCTACCTATGCGCTTGAACCAGATTCGTCAAATTCCAAAATTGGAAAAGATCATATAAGTACAATATTTTAAGCCCAATAGACAACTTTAATACTGTTGAAATCATCAATCAAAAAATAAAAACATAACAATACGTTTAAGATTAATTCAAGTCAACATCGTCAAAAAAAAAACAAAATTGAAGAAATAGTGTGAAAAACTGTTTTCATTTGACATGAACATTTAACCTATAAGTACGCAATCTAAAATATTATTAATTTTCATATTACATATGCATATGTACCAGTTGTGCCTATAGCTTATTCAGTATAAATAAGTGAATATTAATTAACTTACCTTATATTTTGTCACTTTCTCGATCATTCGGCACTCGAAACTTAATTTCTTTGTTAATAAACTACCACTGTAGCACTGCATATTACAATGGCAGGACATGATGCGCGCACGCGCCTCTGACTTATTTAACAAAGTACAGGTGACGGCGATGAGAATGACTGCTTTATTACTGTAAGAAGAACCGAGACTATTAGTAAATATTCCCATATTTTACATTAAGAAATCGCTGATTAAACCGTTACAAAATCAGTAGGAGATTTTCTCAGTTAGGTACTCATATAATTAGTGACAAAACAATGATTTTGTTCACTTTTATAGCAGTTTATTTCAGCGGTTCCTGACTGTAAAACAAGGAAATATTTATTTGCTAATTTTCACTAACATGTGGATATTTTGAATTTTATCGATAGAAATCATAATAGCTAAACGCCTAAAACAAAGTTTTTAACTGTAATAATAATAATGACTGAAAATATTACACAATTGTGATTCAAGTTAAAAAACTCGAAAACGGCTAAGTCGATTTCAGCTAAACATCCCCAAAGTTTTTGATTTAAACCAGTCATTAGAATTTTAGTTGAATGCATTAATGATTAATGTCAAAGGTTTTTGAATACCCAGACAACTGTTTCGCAAAATGCAATGTTTAAACAAAACTTCACAGATAACATATTTATTTATTTACGTACAACTCATTCCATTTAATTACACTTAAAAAAAGATTTTCATTTTGATTGACGTTCGGTCAACTCGTACTCCTTATCCTGAAAATTAATATATGTTACGTATACATGTAGGGAAGCTACTGTAGCTTCTGTGGACCACAAAAAATACGACAGAATTATTCGGGATTACAGAAATTGAAATACATGAGAAGAAAATTACATCAATAAGAAGTGTTTATTATCCTTCACTATGCTTAGTATCTGTACCTATAGAAATATTTAAAGAAATAACTTTTTTTTTAAAAATAATTATGTAGACAGACTTCGACAATTTATTAAATAGTGAAGAGGGATGAACAGAAGAAAGTTGCCTATACAATAATTTTCAATTGAAGGTTTTCGTTTTACGGTTCTAAATACGTGTGTATGTTGGATAATTACCTGTATGGACAGGACAAGCCATCTAGTGAGTACGGCGGATGCTATGCGTCGAAGCCCCACAATTAAGGGGGTTGCAACATGTTCAACAACCAAAATAATGTACAATTGTACTCTTGTATATAAAAAAACATGACAATCGTTGTCAATATGAAGTCTTGCATGTTCGGTCTTGGTTTTGTTCGTTCGGTCTTGGTTTTAGTTTTGGTCTTGTTCGTTCGGTCTTGGTCTTGGTCTTACTAGTATAAAGGTAGTCTTGGTCTGCAAGAGAAAGACTGACTTTATTCATCACTGCTTTGTAAAGAAGGCTAGCCCTGTGTATGAAACATACTAAAAACATTTTAACAAATTGCATAGAATCATAGAATTTTGTATTTGAGTTGAACAAGAACATAAAACAATAGTTCATCCCTTATTTTGTTCCAACATACGATATAATTCTGGCAGTATTTTGGCTAACTACATACAATTAGTTGTATGTGTATAAGTGGGGCATAAAACAGTAGCAGTCAATATGGCGCTAACAGTTTCTATATGTCTGCATTTGTTTCGTTTCTAGGTCAGACAAAACCTGAAGGACGCCGGTGAAGACAATAAAAACGTATTGCTCGCCCTCAAGTTTGGCGGAGTGCCGAGCATTAACAGCCTGAATTCTATCTACAACTTTCAAGTAAGAACATCCCCTTTTTTTTTCGACTTTTCTATTGAATTGTTTCCACCTTTACATGATGAAAATCCATATTTAAAATTTTTATTTCGTAACATATCAAAACAGTCAGGAGTTTATTAGCTAACTTGTGCCTTGCCCTAAAAATTATGTTGGACAAACCGATAGGTATTTTAAAAAACGCCTGATACAGCATAAAATGGTTATTGAAAGAACAAAACTGATTCAACCTTTGCTAATCATGCTACTTACGAAGAACATTGTTTTAACAATAGTTTAGAACTTTGCTTTTACCATAATACCAATTAATTTACAATATCCACTGTGAATCTGTGAGTAAAGATTAGGACTTTGATAAAAAACTATCATTTTTACATTTTAAAAGTTAGTACGCATTGTTTAATAATAAAATTAAATTGAAATATCAAATTATGTTACTTAGTTAAATGATTAAGTACTTTTATTAATATTCTATACGCATAATTCTTGTATATTCTACAAGAATTTGTAAGTCTAATGTTTTTTAAGTGCTAAGGAGCGCAATTTGAAATAAAAGTACCAGCAACTCTTTCACAACAATTTCGTGAAATTCATTACCTAACAGAATGCAACATTTTAAAAAAATACTGGTGTTAAACTGTGCACTTTAGCACTTTACAAGCAAAAACGTACTAATTTTAAAGCTTGCAGCTCATATTTATGTGCATTTTGCTATTCCGTTTTTTTATGATTAGGCAATTTTATTTAGCACATTAATCAAAAACAATATTAAAATAATGAAACATATGTACCAATCTATAAAAAAAAATACTTACCTTTTTACCTCGAATAGGAGTGGTACCTATGAATGAAGAAGAACAGTTACTTACATCCAAAACGTCATTCTACACATTTAAACAATCGATTTCGTCATCAGAAACAATTAATAATAGTTATCATCCACGATAATTATTAATATGTATTTACTTACCAAAAAATAATGTAGAATTTTGTTATTACATTTTTAAAATAATGTTAAAAATTTAATTGTTTATTGATAAAATCTCATAAATACTGTAACAAAACAGAAGACATCAGATAATAAAGCAATAAAAACCTTAACAACAATANTTATATATGTAAGTAGGTATCTACAGTATTTCCTTGTCATGTAATATAAAATAATTAACAACTATTACACTGACTGAGTTACACATGAAAATCTTCTTTTTGTAAAGATTTAACGAAAATCATATGTATGCATAGCTTAATACTTTCATATTCCCATATTTAATCTAAAGTAGTTATATTAATATGAAAATTCATTTTCAATTTTCCAACCACTACAAACCACATCAGGTTAATGAGGAAAAATTTTTGATTTTTGTTGCTGTTGTCACACACCCGCCGGGAATCGAACCCAGGCAGGCGTATGGAAACAGCGACAAAAATTTTTCCTCATCAACCCGAGGTAGTTTGTAGTGGACAGAAAATTGAAAATGAATTTTCACATTAATATTTCATATTAACCACTATTAATAATTAAAAATGTCATAAAGTAATTATGTTATGCACTATAGCTGATCGTGAATAATAAAATTGTGTACCTTATTAATATTAAATTCACTAACATAAAATCTGTGATAAATAGGATAAGCCGTGGGTCTTCGGCCATTTACTACAGTTGCAGAGAAGACTTGGAAAAGACGCTTTTCCTTTAATAGACCAGACCTTTTATCCAGATCATAAAGAAATGGTAAGTCTCTCTTTAACTATTAATATATGATCTGATAGATAAGGCACCATATGTAACAAATCTTTGAGAAATTCTAAGGAATGTTAGATATTCAATCAAACAGGGTTAGGGTTGCCATCCGTCCGGGTTTCCCCGGATTTGTCCTAGTTTAGAGGCCATCCGGGGAGCGTCCGGGGGGGCTTCATTTGTAGTCCTGGTTTAAAAATTTAAAGTCTTGGGCCGCCCGCGGCACACAAAAAAAATCTAACTGATTATTAAAACAATTTGTAACAAACTGTAATAAGATTCTGTTTTGTTAGGTACCTTGAAAATGATGATAAAGAATGACTAAATTTAATTTTAAGGTCCGAAAATAAATAAAAGGGTGATTTATGACATATTCAACTGTTTTTTGTTACACTGACTATGTTTAAAAAAACCTGTTGACATGTCCGGGTTCTGGACTCTAAAATCCGGGGTTTTCACGCGTCTTGTCCTGGTTTCCATATTTTAGAAATGGCAACCCTAAACAGGGTCCATCTACTTTGCTGCAAGAATAATTGGGTCAATCGGCGCTAATCATAAGCTTTAACTTGCAACAGAGATTAAGCTCGCTGATTGGTTTATGAGTTTTATTACTGATGCAGCATGTCTTAGAATTTCACAAAGAATTGGATGGTGCACTTTAGCTTGAACATTTGTGCGAATTACCTTCCCAGATGTATCAGAAATCCAGAGAACAACGTATCACATACATAATTATCTGAACAATAATAAAATTAAACATATATTAAATCTAATAGGTACAACACAGCTGTTTACTATTACTTATTAATAAATAAATGCGTTAAGTTGATTATTGATTATTACACAAACTACAAATTGGTACACAACCGCAGATACATATGTCTTATTACATATGAAAAGTGTACAAGTAATAGTTAAATAATTATAGTTGATTGCTGTTAATAGAAATTAGAGTCGAAATGCGAACTAATTAAATTTGTGTATTTTAAGACCAGCTTGTCTTGTTTCCGTGAAATATTTGGCACTGTTTTGCTTTTGAGATGGAAATTTATTAGACAAACTTGGTGGTGTTATATAAATTCCTGTTACACTCCAGTAAATCATTGTTTCTCACCCAACGACATTGCCTGTTTCTCACACTACTGAGGCAAAAGCCCTGAAAAGATGAATAGGCAAAATTCATAAATATGCCTACAGGGTGGCCCATTTTAAAAGAAGCACCAAAATAACTCTGAGGGAAAAGCTTACATCAAAAAATTGTCCTTACAAAAGTTTATAACTTTTAGGAGGACATCGGTAGGTGACCTTTAATGTGAGCTCTAATTTCAAGGTTATTTTAATTTTAAGTCGTTTTTCTTTTTTTTTAATAGAACCCCCTCAAATTCTACATTCAGATATAATTTATTATAATGGTAATTTGAGGACATTTTACGGTAAATATATCAACAAAATGAAAATTTTACTGTTTTTAGTGCTAAAATTCTCGATTATTTCTAGTTTAAAATGCTAATACAACAATGATAATTTTAAGTCTCTTTTTATTTAATATAATAAGCCTATGATTGAAGCTTTTGTGTGAAATGTACCGATTGAGATACAAACCACAAATAATCATGTGGTGACCCCGAATCTTATCTTGGATGAAAAAGTAGAATTTATTCTGGAACATGAAGCTCATAAATCGTGTAAAAATTTACGCTTTAATTTTGTTTTTTGATGTAGAGTTTGAGATAAAGACATCTGGATGAATCTATAAAATTGGACACCAAAAATTAGGCATTAGTTTAATTTTTACCATAGAATAACTTTAAATTACCTAAAATTTCCATTATAACAAATTATATTTGAATGTAGAATTTCAAGCTCTTTTTGAATCCGGAGTCAAAAATAGCGGTTTCTATTTTAAAAAGCGACTTAACCTTAAAATAACCTTGAAATTAGTCTTCTAGGACATCAGTCTTGTCCCCCTAAAAGTTGTACAACTTTGTCAAGAAAGTTTTTCGATGTCAGTCTTTCTCGTAGAATAATTTAGGTGCTTCATTTAAAATGGGTCACCCTGTATAAGACGACCAGTAACTGTAAGGCTAGAATAAATGATAACAGTGACGGAGTTGGAGATTGAAAACTCTTAAATTGGAAAACAATCGAATAACATCGGTTGCAACTAGGGTTGCCACCTTTTACATAAAGTATTTCTCGACTAAAAGGTTAAAAAAATGTACTCAGCATAAAAATAAAGTATTTTATTTTTTGTTTTTAAAAACATATTTTTTGTTACACCTAACAGCCAGTAACAAATTGCTGTCGCTCTTAAATACATTAATAGCCTCTAAACATGGCAAACAAAGATTTAAGTAAACTAAAAGTTCATTTTTAATTAGTTTTAATGAAGCTTTATTCCTGTCGTCCCGCCACTTTGCGTTCATAACAGAGAATACTCTTTCTGTAAATGCTGAAGTGGCCGGAACGGACAGCAAAAGTGACACTACTTTGAACAGATTTGGGAAATCAGGTTGTTCCGTAAATATGGCTTGCCATTTTTCTGTGCAATATTATTGATGTAAAAATACTCTGAATTTCGAATAATCGCTTACAAAATTACGATGTTTACTTAAGGCCTTAAATAAAGTATTTTTGCGTACTTTATGTGTCTTGTAAAATATAACGTACGCACAGTCGAAATAGAGTACAATACTTTATAATCAAGTACGGGTGGCAACCCTAGTTGCAACTTTACTTCGCCAACTGTCGAGTGTAATTGACTAGTTTTGTATTTTTTGACCTTAATTTTCAAGTAACACCGTGAGTTATTATGAAATCAAAATTTTATTAGATTACGTAGATCAAACCTTATCTCACTTGGAAAAGTGCCTAGATATTTTCATTACATAACTTTATTGTTTACGTTATTTTTTAATATTTCTCATGTTTTTAATACTTCTATTTATATTTTAAAATTGCTACACCTTGAACGTTTTTTATTGATAAAATATTTTTGCTATTTTTATCGGAACCTTTCGAGATCATAAACATGGGATATAAATTATATCTATAAAAAATACTTAATATTTATTGCTGGTACCTCCCCGGGGAAAACTAATTAACAACTTTATTTATCAACAGTACTAAAACGGAGTTGCGAAAATAAACGTAAAAATTTTCGATATTCGAATGAAATATATGGATCATAAAAGAAAAATAACAAAATGAACTCTAAATAAGAATTGATATCTTTTCTTATTGCACAGATTAATCTTAAGAAAATCTTTGGTAACAATTTATCACAATTTTTCTCTTTTATTTGTAACTGCCAGACATACTTTATCTTGGAACTTAANTTATATTTTAAAATTGCTACACCTTGAACGTTTTTTATTGATAAAATATTTTTGCTATTTTTATCGGAACCTTTCGAGATCATAAACATGGGATATAAATTATATCTATAAAAAATACTTAATATTTATTGCTGGTACCTCCCAGCGATTTACGAGTATTTAATATTCATAAATGAAATACATCTGTTTTGCTTTTATGTAATTCAAAGAAAGATTTAATGTACCTACCAGTTATATATATTTTTTTATGATGACTATTTGCTAAAATTACTAGAAATATTTTTTTTGAAATGCCTATATCAAATGATACCTATAATCCGGCATGTTGTATAACTTTGTCTGTTACTTACCTACATGAAAGAAAATGATATCTATTTTATGTGTCCAGAACACTTATACAATTTTAAAATATTTATAGCATTATTTTTTGCTTCAATTTTCACTTGTATACTACTTCACGTTTTATAGCACGCGGCTACATTGCCAAACGTTCGCTGAGCGTTAACTGACTTACTTATTTTATTGCCTGGCACCAAAAATGTATAGGTAGATATCGTTAACAATCAGCAATAGTATTTAATAAAAACATCATACAGGTAAATTTTGTTAAATAAATTCTCCACACTACTTTGAAAAGTAAATTATTGTAACTCACAGATTACTATTGGGTATAATCTTACTTTATTATAAGTATGAAAAACGGGGTAGACATCTGAACATAAATTAAAGAATACTGAGTTGCATCTAACAATATTCACTACCCAGGATTCGAAAAACAGACGGTGAGACAGTCGGGAAAGAGGAAATAGAAGGAATTTGAGGTTTGAGTTTTGAGATGTGGAGTTATTGGAGGACGGTGAAAATACCGTAGTCAGAAAAGGTTAAAAATGATGACGTATTGAACAAAGTAGAAATCAGTAAGAAAAAGGAGAGGGCTCCTCCTGGGATATGAAAGACCTCTTGGAATCAGAGGTAAAGAGAGACGGTGCACCTATAAAATTACCCTAGACAAAAATATTCAGTCTCTCAAAGTCTTTCAGAGTCTTTCAGCGTCTCTCACAGTCTCTCAGTTATTGTCTAGGTGTTCTTATGGATCTCTCACAGTCTCTGTATGAGAGACTTGAACGATAAAGTTGTTAATTCAGAGATTCGAGTTTCCCACAGAGAGACTGAATGAATAAAACTGAAAAATTGAGAGACTTGAGTCTCTCGTAAAAAGACTGGGATCTCTGAAATATGTTGAACTTAGAAAATTTTAACCATGTCTATCGAGGCACTACTTATTGAAAGATTCGAGTCTCTCGTTCAGAGATTCGAGTCTCTCGTTCAGAGACTGGATACGAAATGAGGATCTCTCTATGAGCGACTCGAGTCTCTCGTTCAGAGATTCGAGTCTCTCGTTCAGAGACTGGATACGAAATTAGGATCTCTCTTTGAGCGACTCGAATCTCTCATTCAGAGACGCTAAACAGTTTTTTTGATAGTATCTCTCAGCGACACCAGAGAGACTCGATGAGAGACGGAGACTCGAGTCTCGCTTTCAGAGACTCTGAGAGACTAAACATTTTTATCTCGGGTAGATAGTGAAATAGTTAAAGGTGTGGTATATGTTCTAGAAATATTTCGGAAAATGCCCTAACGACTATGTCACTAAAACATCCAATAAGTCATCAAAATGAAAGGATTGGCTGATCTTTTCTCGTATATTTTTGGTTTTTAATCGAAATTTTACGCTAGAACATTTGTGTAATTCGACAACAATAAAAATCAACTGTGACCATAAGATATAGACAGATAATCGGACATCAAAGTTTCTCCAGGAGAGTTCTATTTGAATTTGAGTAGATATTGATGTAATGTATCGATAGGTACGGTTGGTCCAAGGATAGTATCTTTTGAACCGTTTATTATTTGTTACACTTATGATTCCCTTGGTAAATTTTGCAACAGTTGGCAGTATTGAACATTCCATTAGGTCGTTCTATTTCATGCATATTATTTTAACCACATGTGACTAGTATAGTTAATGTTTTGAAAAGCGGAGATTACCACAACTGCATCACCAGGGAAGCATCTTGAAAAATTTTAATTTCTCAAAATAAAAAGGTGAATTTCTACTACATTCTAAAGGTAAGCGTACATATATTTCAGTATAGGGGGCACACGGAATGGGAAGGCAATCATAGGTGCGTTTTGTCATTGTTTCTGCTATCACCTTTCGTAGCTTTGTGATCAGAGCATTGGTGCGTAAAGTCAAAGGTCCCGAGTTCGATTCCCGGCGAGAGTGTAATGGCAATAAAAAGTTTTTTCACATTAACTTAAGGTGAAATTGAGATGACTTCACATTAGTGTTTGATAATTATTAAAAGACATTAATTAATAGACACCAATAGATAAACAAAGGTTCCTATCCACACCTGCCTCGATCGATTTATCTCTACTCGAAAAACGATGAATCAATGATATGAAACACCCGAGTTGTCTGGACGATAACAATTGACAATGACCGCGAAAGCCCGCGCACGAAACTCGTTATTATTAATTAATGTCACTACTTACGTAACGACTGTAGCAATCAGACAGGTCCGGGCTCCAATTAAACCACGGGCAGCTGTTCTTGGACGGATAGCAACTTTTCTTTTTAATCCCGTCGTGATAGTAGTTACGGCACTGCTGGATTTTGCACTGGCATCCCCTGCCATACATCATCCGTAAACCTTTTCGTTGTCTTTTGGTAAACTTGTTCCACGGTATATTTATCATTCCACACAAGGAAACGCGTGCATGTAAATGTACGACGCGACCGGTGATAAGGTAAGTTTTGCCAACGTCGAATTTCACGCCGCAGGTCGCCTCGTCCCACGAGGTTAGGATTCGACCCGATTTTAACGCCTCTCTTGCTTTATCGGACATTTTAAATTCTTTACGGATTCGCGTTTTGTACACGCGATCGCCACTGTTCCGATTGTATCCCAGTTCGCGTCTCACTCTTGCCAGAATCACTGAAACAGGAAGGCAATACGTAGAATACTGCCAGAAGTTACTTAATTAGCTAATTAGAACTAATTAGGACTAAAATTGTCCTTTATCCCTGCTTGACATAATTCTACACTGATGTTGTCCTAATTCGTCTAAAGGTCATCGTCAGTTGGAGTTGCTTCCTAGCATTTTACTAGCACCAGTGACAATAAGTTTCTTCAGAGTTCCTTCCATCTTCGATGCTGGATGTGCAGTTCCAACCGACGACGGCCTTTGAAACTTAATTAAAAAACATGAATATGTTTGCAATTAATTGATATTAATAAGGCATTTCAAAAATATGGTATTGAATTGAAAAAGCAATCAAATTCAAAAGGGAACAGAATCGACGTCCTGACGATACGTAAACAAAATATCCGAACCAGATGATTGGTTCAGTGGTGAACCGATCGCCATGACAACCAATAAGCCAACAATAGGACGTGTTCTATTCCCGACCTATACAACTTTTTCTGTTCTTGAAACGTATTTATTTAGATATTCATTCAGTTTTAAACTTGCCAATAACAGACAAGAGTTCTATATCGATTAAAACCGAAATATATTGACAAAAAAATTAAATTGTTACGATTAGTACCATAAAGTTACGGTAGGAAGAGACAACACGAACGAAGTGAGTATTATCATGGTCATGTCCCTTTATAAGTTTAAAAATAGTAAACTAAACGCTATTGGACGTTTTTTTTGAAACTGTGAGGAAGACACTACCTAACGCAATACAAAAGAACCGATTTTTTTAGGGTTTTCAAGTTATTTTTTTTAGGGTTTTTATGTTACCGAAGTTCTACTAACCTCCTAGTTGTAGTAGTCGTATGAATTAAAATTTAATTAATTTCACCCTGCAGACACTAAATATATTTTATCGAAAATAAAATTATCAATTTACTAGCATAGTTCTGGCTACATTAAAGCAAACAGACATGTTAACACACCATTATTATTACGCATATGACTTTTGATGTAAACATGAAAGACTTAATGTGTGTTACAAACGCGCTAATCGCCACTAACAGAAGAGAATTATCGAATCGGAATGTTCCTATCTATTAATAAAAAGCATCTGGAAGCAATGGCAAAGAAACTGATTGGCTCTACAACGACGTAATGTGTCATAATGCCAAAAGCTTTCTAAAATAAACATCTAATTTTGTGTTATACTTTATATTAAAGATTCGATCACATGGTATTCAATAATGAATGTACATGTCAGTACGTCGATGCTATTAAGTTGTATTTTAAGATGTAATACTTAACTTTTGAAGTGTGTAATCAATAACATAACGGATGATACTCAAAATAACTTAGAAGTATTGCGTAAGTGCTACAATTAAATTTAAATAACGTCAGCTACGCGAAGAAGGACTATTGATGCCATTGCGATAGCTCGTTCTTCCACCACTAATGTACAGTTCGTTTGTAAATTTAATTAAAAACTTTTGATCACATCGTTCTGTATCGGTTTGTCTACAAGAGCTGCGGTGCTGCAGAACACAATTTTTTTTTTTTTTAACAGTACATAGAACAATAAACCAATAATATTAACTTCACATATTCTTTCGTTTAGCTACCCTGAATTAACCAATAATATTGACTACCCTGAATTAAATCAGCTATATATAAGTTCACACAGTTAGCTCTCCGTGTGCTTAGTATTCCCGATCTTGCTACTTATTACATTTACGCGAAATTTAGTAAGTGGAAAGTTAAACGTCACTGCAATAGAAACAACTTTATCGCTAAGACAATGGCGTAACTAAGTGGCGCCTAGTGTCACCCCCATTCGTAAGCCAAAAAGTACCACAGCGAAAAAAAAGTAATCAAACTAGAAACAAACGGCGTCTTGCGCTAGTGAGTGTTATAGCCCCGCTAGAGGAAAAAAGATATCAACGTAAAAGAAACTAAAATATTGTATAACTGAGGTGAAATTTCCGCAAAGCAAGGTTGATAAAAGTCGTGATTTTAGTGATTAGTAAATCTAAATTTTTATCGATATAAATAAGATCATCGACGACTAATTTATCTATCCCTCGGGAACAGCATTTTTTTTTCTTTTTTTGATAAAAGGAACTCTGTATCCTTTTCTGTACCCTTGAAAATGTTTGTACAAAATTTCATGATAAGTTTAACCCGCGGTTTAGCTCCCATTGATGTCCTACCATAAATACGTCTGCAAAATCATCGATGGGCGTCGATACATTTTTCGTGTCCAACTAACTTTAATTTCTTAAGTTAATCATGATTTTTTTTTCAAAAAAATCAGTTGATTAAAATCAGAGTATATGTTTTTACAGAAATTTCAAAGTGACGTAGATGAAAATGAATTTAAAAGTGTGGAAAAAATGCGTAAAATACTCTAAATTTGATCATGTATTTTACGAAGATAAAATCCCAAGAGCGAACGCAAGAACAGACTAGGTAGGCACTAAGAATAATTATTTATACGTTTTATATTTTCAACGGACTATGGGAGATATTATTAAAGCCTTAATTTTTTTTTATTAGTTCTAATGTATAAGATAATAATAAATAGAAATACTATTTGATTTTTATATAAGTAAGTACACACTTAAATTGGTTCAATTGGGGTCGACCTTGATCTAACTTTTAAACTGACAACTTCTTCAACAATAGATTGCAGTAATGTACAAATAAATTTTCAATCAATTTTTAATACTTAACTCTGAAACGAATAATGATCAGCGATTGAATCTGAAACGTCCTCTAAAAATCCCTTCTTCTCTCTTTTTTTCATACACATACAAATGCTTTCCTTTTACTAACCGTTATCACTGTCAAATCCATTTTTGAAAAACGGTATTATATTCGTTTTGTTTCATAATATAGAAAAGCAATTTCGTTACAAAGAATTCATATAAAGCGGACTAACCAAGTTCAACCAATAAAGCGAGAACCAGGGCCTTCCAGGCATACGTTAAATTATAAAGGCTATAAATTTTTGTGTGCATTCTTACCTACTGTAGTGAGAATGCACATAAAAATTTCTAGACTTTTTGAAGTGAAACTTCTTTACGCACGGTAGGGTAAGTTCGTTTCATGCGAGTTGTTATGTAACGAAATCATGCAACGGATGTCCACCCTCTGCTCGGCCACGTAGTCGAGTTCGTAGTGGGGATCGCTTGAGCCGTGAGCGCGCTTGAATGCAACGTTCGTTACAGGCAACTCCGGCATGTATAGTGTAAAATTTAAATTCATAGTGTACAAATAATACCATTAAACCAATTCCTTAACCCCTATCCTGATATGTTTGTGTGTTTGAAGAAGTTTCACTTCAGTAGCGTGCTGTATAATAACACGTTGCATTATTTTTTTTCTTTAAAGTATGTCTGGCAGGGTCTGACTGTCAGTCTACAATGTCCTGTCAGGGTTTTGCTTTAAGATTTATAAACCTACCAAAATCTGATCGACAATAATGTTCTTGAGGATGGATCGGCATGCAACTGCAACATTCGCATATCAGCACAGCCAAAGATGCAAAAATTGCAGCAACAAATAAGTAGACAATAAATGATTTCATTATCTGAAAAGAAAAACGGAAATTACTCAAAATTGAAAATCAATATCGACGAAAATGAAAATATAAAATATAGGCAACATAACTCTACCATTAAAATAATTCGAAGTGGTCTGTATTCTATCGAAACTGCCAGACGCGGATCGCGATTTCGACCTTTTTGGATCTCATCAGCGCGTCGCAGGCAGCTCCGACAGAACACAGACCAACTTTTACCTGCTGTCTTAACAGCGCGTTTTAGAAAATACCACAAATGACGCGGTAAACGCCATCTGTAGTTCTGTCGGAGCTGCCTGAGACGCGCTGATGAGATCCAAAAATACAGACCACTTCGAATTATTTTATTCGATTATGGTAACGTGCCTATCACGTTGAGATTAGCTACGCCGGGATTCGTTTCAGCAAGTAGATATCCATACATTTAAATGGATCTTGTTGGATCATACGTAATCGTAAAATGTAGCATCGTACTACAGATGGCGTTTACCGCGTCATTTGTGGTATTTTCTATAACTCTACAACGTAGGACCAATAGATAAAATGAAATTAAAAAATGTGTACGGATACGCAGGAAGCTTTCATTTTACGTCAGACAATATTTTGATACCTACTACATGTATGAGAGTAATGTTTGACAAATAAAAACTGCGATTTTCAGTTAAAAAATTATTTTATTTTTCTACACGATATTCCTTGATTTCAACACACACTGTTTAGCGTTTCTCCAACGTCAATATTCCTTCCTGGAAGTGAAAGTCTGGTCGGCTTTAAAAATATTCATCTACGGTCCTCTCAACTTCTTCATTGGACGCGAAGCGCTTTCGAGCAATAAATTTCTGTAAATTTAGGAACAGATAGAAGTCTGAGTGTGCCAAATCAGGAAAATAAAGGGGTAGTCAAGCAAATCGTACCCCAATGCTACAGTTGCCCTGCTGGAAGATGACTCTTTTCTTCTTCAAGTCAGGCCTCTTCTCGCGTCAAGAAGGTTGGAGTAATATTGGTATTTAGCGTTTAAAATCCGTTTTTAACAGTTATGCTAAAGGTACTGGTAGATTCTCATTTACTCTAAAAGGTATCTCATTTTTGGTGCGTAATCCGATCTAAAAGTGGAGATTGTTGATATGACAAGGAGGTGAAACAGAAATGTTTATGTACAGTTAGATATTAACATCAATTTTATTTCTTGTTTTGAAGGTAAATACCACAATAATAAAATCTGCAAGAAAGTGCATAATTTCCTTAAGTAAAACCGCTAATACTCATGTAAACTTGCGGTTTGCAATTTGTACAAATGCGAGAATGCTTTTTATTTTACTTCTTTTGTGAAGAATAAAGCAAGAAACGGAAGTCTGAAACAGTTTGCATAGATGGATATCAGTGGCGTAGCGTGAATTACTGCCACCTGGGACAAAGCTTAAATTTGCCGCCCATCCTATTTTTACAATTATGTAAGATCTTTTACTTAAATTGGTAGGGATTGCGGTGAAAAGGTGTACAAAGAACTTACATTTTCAGTTTAGCCCTTGAGGCGATAAGTAGCGTTTATTATTATCGAAAATTGAAAATACATACATAAATAGCTTTCCCTTACATACTTAAATAGATACATATATGCGTTGGGTATTACTAATATTTGATCATTGCAATAGAAAATAAGGATGTTATTTTTTCGGATATATAAAAATTTGCCGTTTTTACAAGACAGCTTTTCTCAAATGTTTATCAACACTAAAATCTTGATATTTTTGCCAACATGATACAAATTATTAATAGATGGTACAAATAAGAAGAAAGCATTTTTTCAGCCTCCTGGGCCCCTTTATTTATTACGCAAGTAAGTTCAAGTCCTTGGAAGATATACTCATGAAAAACATCTCCCATTCATCCTTAATTTCTCTTAATTATCTAATATACAAAATTCATTGAAAACAACGAAAGTTATAAGGACATATTTAATTTGTAATAAACATACATAGAAATAATAAGACAGCAACAAATACTTAAAATGGTTCATAGAACATTGCTGGTGACATCGTGCGGTGATTCCATGATGTGCAGGTCACATCACTATCGCTATTAGACTATAATTAATCAATTTTCGATTGTAATCGATTGTACTGCTCTCATTATTTACGCATACAATTCTCGTGTTCTTGCTAATATTAGATCTCGATCGAAATATGCGGAACAGTCATCCTCAAAAACAAACAAAATCGTATCGCTCAGCGATTTATAAATTCATCGATTGCTTTGATTATGATCACGTGTTCTGTGCTATGTGGCAACTTTTCTTGTGGTAGGTCAGTCGGAAATAAAACTACTTAGGTACGTATGTATGCATAATAAAACTTTAATCCATTTTTACATTCACATACATCACAACCCTGGGCAACATCACAAACGATTTTCTGGTTGACACTAACGATGAAACTGCGGCCCGCATGGGCGTCAAGAGACATTGTTTGTTTTTGAAATATAAAGACCCCTTCCTGATAATTAGATTTTAAAGACTTTACTGGAATCTCGAGTTTAGAGAAACGAAGAAATTCGAGTTAAAGTTTACTACTAATTTGTCAGAAAAAGTTCAAAAAAGACTTTACCCCCTATTAGCTAGCATATGTGGTGCCCTTCGATTTTCGTCTCTGAGCCACTTGAGCCAATTTTCACTAATTTTCAGTAAATATTCACTAATCTTCACAGTTATTATTAATAGCAGCATTACAAATTACTGAATATCAACTAAACTAATCAAGAATTGAAAGTACCATTGAATTAGTGAATATAAAAAATGAAAAAATATACCTACATTTAGGAGAGAAAAACAAAAAAATTGGCCCGAAATAGAACCCAGACCTTTTCGTTGGAAGACAAGCACTAATTTGTAAAATTAGTCGAAATATTAGATTTTCAATGAGAAAAAATAATGTTTGAAATTGTAATAAAGGTTTCTTACCTGCAAATAAAGTCTCGAAGAATGCTAATGTAGCTTTCAGTTAAATGTTGCTGATAGAACAGTGAATTACGTAAATAACTGATTACATCAGTACACGGAGAAAATGAAAACCGAAAATATACCTAAATATTAAAGCGATATCTACAATTTATCCCACTAGCCCGTTGCTTCGTAAGCGAAAATATTAAAAATTACAATCTGAACCCGATTTTGTAAAGATAAAATCCCAGCAGAAATAAATTTACTAGGTTGATATTACAAATTTAATTGTAATAATTAAGAAACTTAAAATTATTTTTAAAAAAACGTCAAAATTAAGATTATTACAAGTTACCTAATAAATTCTACTATTTCTACGGTAAATGCAGTCATTTACAATCGAAAATTGTAATTTTTGCGTTATCATAAAAATTTAGTTTTCTTCGTGTCCAAACTAAATGATGAATTAGTTAAAAATGCCGATTTCTTAGTGAAACATCTCTGCTTTTTTGGTTAAATATCGGTTAATTATTGTGAATAACAACTGGTTCTACAGTGACTTTTTATTTAATTGTAAGTCAGTTTTTCACCGTTTTACTTTTAGAGAGCAACGCATTACGTGTGAATTTCAGATCTATATCTAATTTCATTTAAAGTTAGAAGACTCTTATAGACAACGTTGTTATACCAATAGGGTTCCATACAATCCTTCGCATGTGGAACCCTTAAGGTAATCTCTCTTAATTTTTTTATCTTGCTTAATTGGTCGATATAATTGAACACCCCGTATACTCGTGCCATTTAACTTACGTAGCATAGGTAGCACTTATTTAAGCGTAATGCAACAAACAATAAATTATTCACAAAGTGAAACTTGTGTCAACTCGCGTTAATCTTGCAATGCATTTACATAAAAATAATTTCAATCGGTGTAAAAACATTGCGACTATAAATCAACAATTTAATTGATTCATTTTGCCCATTAGAGTAACGCTAGATTTGCTATCTTCCATAAACGAGCGCGTAAACAATAGATTTTCTTGTCAAAGACAGAATCGTGTCTGCTGGTTGTCTATTAAAAGAACGTTAATTAGCCTAAACATTGGCAGCTCGAAACGCTAACTATCGACACTGTGGACGCATTGTACGAGCCTACCTACAAATGCAAATGCATGCACTCGCATGTTTTTAATAAAATACCTTAAAAATGTCAAAGCGATAGCCATGGCATCACAATAATAATAAGGCATTCATTACTTGTATTGCGATATCGAAACACAGAATGCAAACCTATACATAAATGTTCAACAGGGTGTTTACATTATCAACTATCTGTAAAGCATGCACAAATATGTAAAATAAAAGCCAGCAGCACCCTTTATGACTACGTCACATTATAGATTATAGTGAAACATCAAGGAGATTACCAAAAAGAATGCTAATGTTTGACGTGATGCTGAAGAATAAAATAAATCATTAGCAGAGAAAACAGTACACCTAAAAGCAATATTACATACGGTCATATATGTAATTTACAGTCAGAATACTTTAAAATATGAAGTACAAGAAAGAAAACGTTGACAGCTTTATGTCATAAGTAATGTATCAAAAAGATGAAAGATACATAAAAACACTTAGAAAGATTGGCTCAATACAGGAAGAAATGGAGGTGTTAAACCAGTCATCTGGATGATATTTTACATTTTATTTTATTGATATACTAACTAAAAAAAACCCACTTCAAAAAATCCCTAATTTAGTGCCAGAGCCGTGTCAACCAATCAAATATATTCGTCCTTCCAGAAGGTTTTCGATTATTTCGATCTAGTTAACCCTACACAACGGTTCTCGAATATTCCCGAATATTCTCGATTCTAAAAACATTCTAGAACATTCTAGTAGGTACTGCATCCTTACTTATTGTAAACGGGTGTTTGATGGACGGTTGTCCATCCGCATTCCCAAGCACACACTAAACTTGACAAATCTTGAGTATTATAGGAAATTCCAAGTACTTTTTGGAATACTTTGGTAGAAATATATAAAAAAATGGCCAATTGCAATGTCAGAAGTC